ATGAAAATATTTTCAAAATCTACTGCAGCCTTCCTTGCTTAAGGAAGTCCAATAAGCTTAATTTATCCTATGTTAATAGTGGATCCTGGGAAAATTGAGATTTAAAAAAAAATGTTTTCAATGATTTAAAGACTTCTAATATTGCATTTTTTACAGATTCAGATACAGATTCAGTCAGAAATAGGATCGTCTGGAAAGAAACCAGTGTAAATGCTCAACTATATTTAAAAAGTCCTTGATGTGAGCTTACTTGGGCTCATTTGCTTCTTTCTTACAAAATCTTAATAGAAGATGAGCAACCGCATGACCTTCAGAGAAGGATAACACAGCTACCTGTTGGCAGAATTAATTATTGACTCAAAGGCTGTGAAATAGCCTTCAACTGAGTTATTTTCACAATCTCTAGAAACTCTTCTTCTTCCCTGGCATTATCACCATGGCGAATTGACAGGAGTGTTTAAAACATTATCTATTATTTCTGCTTCACAAGCCCAGTGGACTAGGTCAATCGCCTTGTCAGTTTCAACTCGCTCCTCTGTCTGACTTGTATGAAGATGCATGTGGGGTAGGAACAGCCCCGGTCTAGGAAACAGGAGACCTGGATTCTAGAGCTTTGTTCTGTAGACTTGAAAGTAACTTCTTTATTTCTCTCGGACTCAACTTCTTCATGTATAAAATAAAGGGGTTGAATTCGATGATTACTTATGTCCCTTCCATTGTAAAGATCTATGACGCCGTGGTATACTGCACCTCAAGCAATGTTAAGGGAAGCAGAAAGTCCTTCACTTTGAGTTCCTTTGTCTATGAGGCTCCCACTGCATGTTGCAGGTACTCCTGTTGAAGCCTTTATCATAATTTAAGATATCAAAATGTACAAGTCAGTGATGAACTGTATTGGATCCGAGCCATAGATATTTTTTTGTTTGGCCTGCATATTAAAAAAAAACAAGATTACACTGTATAGCACAGGGAAATATACACAAAATGTTATGATAAATCACAGAGAAAAAAATGTGACAATGAGTGTGTATATGTCCATGAATGACTGAAAAATTGTGCTGAACACTGGAATTTGACACAATACTGTAAAATGATTATGAATCAATCAAAAATGTAAAAAAAATTAAAACTTAGAAAAAAAATTTAGTTTACGATTTTTAAAAGAGGAAGAATTAACATAAAATCCAGATTTGGGCTTCTGTTGAAAGAACTAAGCACACTGAGTCCACAGACCTTATGACATCATTCTATTAGAGCCAGGTAATTCTTGCCATCATTAGTTGTGACATGTGGTCTGTGATTTGCCATCCAGTCCACTGCAGTCATTTTTGTTCTCTGTCTGGCTCTGTGCACATTCCTATGTGTGAATACAGGCTTATGTGTTTGTCTCCTCTCTAAACAATGAACTGTTCCGGGGAAAATAACTCGTCTTTACCCTCTGTGGTAGGCTACCTAACAAATATGCATTCTCTGTGTCTTTAAAAAGAGAACCCCAATTTTATTCAGGGTACAATCTACCCTGATAAAATATCTCGGTAGGCTACCTTGTATCTTGTGAAGTTTAAGTCAATGAAAAGAAAGAGAAAGTCAACAACTTGGTTCTTTCAGGAAAGCTATTGCTTTACCTAATCAAAATACACACACACACACACACACACACATCCGGACAACACACAACCTCTCAACCACCACCAAGTTAGCCATATATACTTTGTTTCCCTCACCGTCTTACTTGGAACTTTGACGTAAAGTCTGTATAGATTGTAGCCATCTTGCATCTCCAAGGACAATAGCCATATGCAAAGATGGTAACAGAAAAGATGCAACCTTGCACAGTTGATCCAGCCCTTAACTATCATCATTTTCATTAGAAAAATAAACTTCTCTCTGGTTGAAACATCGGAAGCAACTTTTCTGTTTATTAATGTCAGTTGCATCCCTAACAACTATACCCTCATTGAATCTCAAGTACCTGGTCCACAGGAGGTAGCTGGTTATTGATGCTTTTATAGCAGAAACAATACCAAGAACAGTAATTTACAATGGACGTATGCTTACTATTGCCAGATACTGTGCTTAATGTTTTATATCACTTAATTCTCACAACTACCCTGTAAGATAGGTGATCGCTAGTATTCAGATGAAGCATGGAGAAGATAAATATTTTTCTCCAGGTCAAATCATTTTTTAAAATAAATGATGAACATTTTCTTTAAATTTGACAGAAAGCCAAAGTCAGGCATCTGAAACTACAAGCTTCTAGTTCAACTTCATGGACCCATGGAAATAAGTTACCACTTCAAATAACACTTAACATATGTTTGTAAGTCCAAGTATCAGCTGAGCCCTCAGAATCCCCTAAGGTTCTTGTACTGTTTCAGCAAGTTTGCTCTCTCATTCTCAGAAAGGAAAACTTCACATTTTCTACTTTTTTCTCAAACTATCAACACCATCCTCTGTCTCTGACTCTCCACTGAGAAAACATAGGGCTGCTTCCATCTGTTCCTACATACTCTGGCTTCTGACTCTTGCATTGATGAATTGTCCCTATTATTATGTAAGGTCAAACCCACCAATAGTGCTCTACATTTCTTCCCTGTTTTGCAATATTAAGATTTTTCAAATAGAGTCATATACTCTCTTCTCCTACATAATCAATTTCCTCTCCTCTCATAATTCAGGTTTGCTCCATTTTTTTTTGTTATTAAAATGAAATTTCCCTTGATCCCTTTCAACTCAGTTACTGAACCAAAGTTATCAACTACTGTGTTGTCTACTTCCTCCTCTGTATGGTGTCTTCAACCCTCTTTATTTAGACTTTTATCCCCATGAAACCTCTAAAAATGTTCTTGTCAAGATCTAAAGCAACTTCTGACTTGACAGATCCAATGGTCAATTATCTGGTCTCAAACCTTCTCATCAAAGTTTGATTCAGTTGATTCCTCTTCCTTTTTGAATCACAAAATTTACTAGACACTGAGGATGGCATGTTTTCCTAATCTATTTCAATATAGGTGATAATCTCTACTAGCTTGCCTTTCCTCCCTGGTCTTTAAATATTAGAGTATATTTTAATTTTTTGTTTTTCTCTTCCCTATCTACATCTAAAAGATCTCATCCAGCCCAATGGTATTAAATATGTCTCTATGCTGAAAATTCCCAGTTTTTATCTCAAGCCCACACGTTTCCCCTGGGTCTGATCTGTATGTACAGCTTTCTCTCCAACAACTCCATTGGGACTATTGAACTTAACCCGTCCTAAACCACCCATGATTCCCTGGCTCTTCCAAAATTCCCCTCATCTCAATACTGTAAATGACATTCATGTAGTTGTTCACAAACCAAGAATTTATAAGGTATCCTTGATTCCTTTCTTTATCCCTTTAGCCAGTTCATGAGTTACCAACTACTTCCTACTTCTCTCAAAACCACCTTAACCAAATAAGCATCATCAGTCAGTTGGATATATGTCACAACTTTCTAACTAGTTCCTCTCCCTTCCAGTCTTTCCCTTTCTCTCTATTCTTAACACTAGTTTTACCATATTTGTGTTCATAGTCCTCCAAAGACTTTTTCACATTCAGAAAAATAATGAAGACCTTATAAGATCCTACTACCTCTGGTTTCTGCTTACATATTTTTTAAAGACTATTTTTGGAGCAGTTTTACATGTACAGCAAAATTGAAAGGAAAGTACAGAGACTTCCCATATATGCCCAGCCCTTCCCCCACTATCAACATCCCTCACCACAGTAGTACATTCGTTACAACTGATGAACCTATACGGACACATCACAATCACTCAAAGTCCATAGTTTATATTAGGGTTCACTCTTGGTGTTGTACATCTCATGGATTTTAACAAATCTGTAATGCTTTGTATCCATCATTATTGTATCATACAGAATAATTTTTTACCCTAAAAAACCTCTGTGATCGACTTACTCATTTCAGTCCCCTCCAAACCCCTGGCAACCACTGATCTTTTTACTATCTCCATAGTCTTACCTTTTCCAGAAGGTCATATACTTGGAATCAGCCTATTCAGAATTGTGTATTTCAATTAGTAATACGCATTTAAGGCTACTGCATGTCTTTTCACAGTTTGACGGCTCATTTCTTTTTAGTTTCTGAATAATATTGCATTTTCTGGATGTACTACCAATTATTTATCTATTCACCTCTTGATGGGCATCTTGGTTGCTTCCAAGTTTGGGCAATTATAAACAGAGCTGCTATAAACATTTGTATGCAGATTTTTGTAAGAACATAACTTTTCAACTCCTTTGGGTAAATACCAGAGTGTGTTTGCTGGATCATATGGCAAGAGAATGTTCAATTTTGCGAGAAACTGCCAAACTGTCTTCCAGAGTGGTATACCATTTTCATTCCCACCAGGAATGAACAAGAGTTCCCATCGTTCCACATCCTACCCAGCATTTGGTGTTGTCAGTGTTGTGAAGTTTGGCCATTCTAACAGGTGTGTAGTGACATCTAGTTGTTGTTTTCATTTGCATTTTCCTAATAGTGTATGATGTGGAGCACATTTTCACCTTTTGCTATCTGTATGTCTTTGGTTTTTTCTGCAATGGTTCTTTATTTTCAATTGAGCTATAGTCAATTTACAATGTTGTATTTCTGGTACACAGCATAGTGATTCATTTATACATATATATATATTCCTTTAAATATTCTTTTTCATTATAGGCCATTACAAGGTATTGAGTATTGTTCCTCGTGCAGGGAACAATAGATAAACAAGTAGAAACTTGTTTATATCTATTTTATATATAGTAGTTAGTATCTACGAATCCTGAGCTCCCAATTTATCCGTCCCTCCCTCCTTTCCCCACTGGCAACCGTAAGTTTGTTATCTGTGTCTCTGTTTTGTAAATAAGTTCATTGTGTCCTTTTTTTCTTTTTAGATTCCACATATTAGTGATATCATTTTTTTTATTTTGGTTGTGGGGGAGGTAATTAGGTTTATATATTTATTTTAATGGAGGTACTGGGGATTGAACCCAGGACCTTGTGCATGTGAGGCACATACTCTACAATCTACCACTAAGCTATACCCTCCCCCTGTATGTCTTCTGTGAAGTGTCTGTTAAGGTCTTTGCCCATTTTTAAATCTGGTTGTTTGCTTTCTCATTGTTGATTTTTAAGAATTATTTGTATATTTTGGATAACTGTCCTTTATTAGACATGTCTTTTGCAAATATTTTCCCCCAGTCTGTGACTTGTCTTTTTATTCTCTGACAATATCTGCCACAGGGTAAAATTTTAAATTTTAATTACGTCTAGCTTTGCAGTTTTTACATGGATCATGCTTTGGTCACCTAGATACTTCAAATAATCTCCTATGTGGTCTCCCTTGCTCAGCCCAGCCCAGCCCAGCCACTCTGCTGTTTTTACTGTAAATCAAATGGCACAACTTTATTTCCTCCTCAAAGTCTTCACATTTATAGTTTCCTCTTCCTAGAACAAACTTACTCTCAAGCTTTCTTATGCCTTATGTATTTCTCAGACATCCTGTTAGATATTTCATTCAGGTCGTTGTTCAATAATTACCTTCTTGAAGTTTTCCTTAATCTAACAATCTAAACACACCTGTATTATTTTCTATCCCTTTATACTATGTCCTTATTCTTTTCAGTATTTAAACTAGTGAATGATAGTAAATGTTTATTCTTCTATTTTTTCAATACCTGCAATACACTTGATTATAAGTTCCATGAAGGCAGAAATCTTTTCTAGCTTGACCACCACTCAAATGCCTACTCAGGTGCCTGGAATATAGTAGAAGCTCACTAAATGTTTCTGAAAGAATGCATGAAGTAATGAATTGTGGATATCTTCTTATCTTCCCCATTAACATAAACAAATACAGCATGCTATGGCTTAGTCATATACATGTGCATTACACAGAATTCAGTAATTCCAAATTTGTTTTTTAAAAAACACAACACGATCAGCTGTTTTTCCTAAGCTTTGTTGTCTTGAAACTTGTTTTTTAAATTATCTAACATCTCTGCTTCCGCTTAAATGTTCTTATCTTGCTTATGTACCTTTTCTTAGGATTCACATGTGAGTAGGCACCTTCCACTGTGACTAGTTTGGGGTCTACTTCTGTATGGATCGGTGTTCACATTACAGAAATTCATAGCATCACAGCCTAACTTGCCATGTCCTGTAATTGCAGTACAACTTTTCTCAAGCGGATACAAGCTATTGTTTAGTATTCCTTTTAATGTGACACCACTGATAGCAAAATACTACCTTTAGAGAGCCTAGAAGAGCCAAACTCAGCTTGCCTTTACACTAATTGTCCCCATAGGCTATGGTATTTTATTCATGCACGGAGTTACTGTAAGTGTTAATGTGGAATTTTAAATATCCTCCAGAGATCATCTCTGCTTTCTACTGTTACTGTATTTTGGCATTTTTGCTGTTCACTCAAATTCCATTTCTTCCTTGCAACCTCAGTTTTATGCTTCTAAATACTTCTGATATCGGCTGCCTTGCCTTTCATCTTCTTAGCATATGTACTGTTTTCACCTTTTATTTTTTTGAATGTTTGGCTTTTGTTTCTGACTTTGGGGATTGATTTGATAGTAATTACAATTCGAATGGTGTGTTCGTTTTTTTCTGATTAATAAACCAAGCAATCGCATTGTCTTTGGTTCTCGGTAATTTTAACAGGCTTATCTCTTCAAGCTTGATTACATAAAGAAAGACAAATATTCAAATACAGAAAAACTAGAGAACTCCTATAGGATCATATCCAAAGCTCCTCATCTGAGCAATAAATGGTAACACAGAAAGTGATGGAGTTACTATTTTTTTTCCATTCCCCAAAATGGTTACATAACTTGCACTATTTTAGATGCATAGGAAGGAAGCTAATTAATTACACACGATGAGTGCTTAAGGCATTAACATCCATTTAATTTTCTCACAGAGCATCTTGGTTGAAAAATATTTTTTTTGTTTTTATTAGTAGATCTTTTTAATCATAGAGTTAAAAAGAAATTCAGAAAAACAATAAAACCATTCTTATCCCTGTCTGCATATATCCTTATAATCATTTCAGTCAATATGCTCAACATGCAAAGAAATGTCTTCATCAATTTTTTAATACACACATTTGGCTTGAAAAATTCTTTCTACTGAGTTTTTAAGTAAATATCAACCATTAATACAAAATGCTTGAAAACATCAAAAAAATTCAGAAGAGGTCATCAATTTTCTAGTTTTTCATTTCTTTCTTTAGTTAAGCAATAGAAATATACCAAGCAGCTCCATATGCAGTCTGTGGGGCAGGGGGACGAGGGTAAAGGCACACATGTGCACAGTCATCGCTGTAGATTCAAGGATTCTGTTTTCAGATCTGAATACAGAATCATCTCATTTAGAAACAAAAGAGATGTCCAACAGGCTTATCAACATGTACCGTAAAATAAATTCAAAATCAGAAAATATTTCCTCCTCTTTCTTTCCTTTGTTTCATTTATTGAAGAACTAGTCCTTACTAAATAATAGCAATAGTAATAATAACAGCAAAATATTTACTGATCTAATTATTTTCTATGCATCATGCCTTTAGTGGTTTATGTAAATCTCACCCTGAAAGTCTTGTCATTTATACCTTTAACTCCCTTGAACTCATTACACATCACTGTACAGAATTAAGAAAAAAAAGATAAACTTCAATATAAGTGCAATAGATGATAAGTTCCAACATTCCAAAGAGTATATGACATACAGCAGTGCTGTCCAAGAGAAATATTAAGACACAAATGCAAGCCCCATATATAAGTTTAAATTTTCAGTCACATTAAGAAAAGTGAAAGAGTTCAAATCAATCCTAGATCTTTTTTTAAAATTGAAGTATAGTTGACTTACAATATTATATTAGTTGCAGATGTACAGTTACATATCTTATTCACTAAAATTGCCCAGATGGCATGTCAATATGTAATTAATATAAAAATGACTGAGATAATTTACATTATCTTTTTCATACTATGTCTTCAAAATCTGGTGTCCATTTTTTCCTTTTAATTGAAGTACAGTTGATTTACAATATTGTGTTAATTTCTCACATATAGCATAGATGCTATGCTTTTTCTTTATAAGCCATTACAAGGTATTGAATATAGTTCCGAACTCCCAATTTATCCCTTCCCACTGTCTTCCCCTCCTGGTAACCATAGTTTGTTTTCTGTCTGTGAGTCCATCTCTGTTTTGTAAATAAGTTTATTTGTGTCCTTTTCTTTTTTTTTGGATTCCACATATAAGTGATATCACATCATATTTTTCTTTCTCTTTCTAGCTTATTTCAGTTAGTATGATGATCTCCATGTCCATTCATGTTGCTGCAAAATGGCATTATTTTATTATTTCTTATGGCTAAGTAGTATTCCATTGTATATACATATATATCACAACTTCTTTATCCAGTCATCTGCCAATGAACATTTAGGTTTTTTCCCTGTCTTGGCTATTGTAAATAGTGCTGCAGGGAACACTGAGGTGCATGTATCTTTTCAATTTAGAGTTCCTCTGGATATATGCCCAGGAGTGGGATTGCTGAATCATAGGGTAAATCTATTTTCAGTATTTTAAGTAATCTCCATACTGTTTCCATAATTGCTGCACTAAAATACCTTCCCACCAACAGTGTAGGATGGTTCCCTTTTCTCCACACCTGCTCCAACATTTATTGTTTGTGGACTTTTTAATGAGTACCATTCTGAGTGGTGTGAGGTGATACCTCATTATAGTTTTGATTTGCATTTCTCTGATAATTAGCAATATTCAGCATTTTTTCATGTGCCTATTGGCTATCTGTATGTCTTCATTAGAGAATTGCTTATTTAGGTCTTCTGCCCATCTTTGGATTAGACTTTTTTTTTTAATTAAGTTGTATGAACTGTTTATATATTCTGGAAATTAAGCCTTTGTCAGTCACATCATTTGCAGATATTTTCTCCCATTCTGTAGATTGTCTTTTTGTTTTGCTTATGGCTTCCTTTGCTGTGCAAAAGCTTACTGGGAGAATGTTGCTATGATTTATATGAGAGAATGTTTTGCCTATGTTCTCTTCTAGGAGGTTTATGGTGTGTTGTCTTATGTTTAAGTCTTTAAGCCATTTGAGTTTATTTTTGTGAATGTTTTTAAGAGAGTGTCCTAATTTCAATGATTTACTACTGTGGCTGTCCAGTTTTCCCAACACCACTTGTCAAAGAGACTGTCTTTTCTCCACTGTACGTTCCTACCTCCTTTGTTGAAGATTGATTGACCCTAAGTGTGTGGATTCATTTCTGGGCTCTCTATTCTAATCCACTGATCATATGGATCTTTTTTTGTGCCAATATCATGCTGTTTTGATTACTGTAGCTTTGCAGTATTGTCTGAAGTCTGGGAGGGTTATTCCTCCAGCTTCATTCTTTTTCTTTAGTATTGCTTTGACAATTTCTGGTTTTTTTTGTGATTCCATATAAATTTTAGGATTATTTGTTCCAGTTCTGTGAAAACTGCCCTAGGTTATTTGATAGGGATAGCATTAAATCTATAGATTGTCTTGGGTAGTATGGCCATTTTAACTGTATTAATTCTTCCAATCCAAGAGCATGGGATATCATTCCATTTCTTTAAGTCATCTTTAATTTCCTTAAATGTGTCCAGTAACTCCTGTATTGGACACCACAACTCTACACTGAAAAGGGATTAGAAAATTAGATTTGTTGTTCCCTTTGCAAATCATATTATATTACATGACATCATAATGCATATGGTTACATGTGATTATATTATATATACAGTAATATATATGTGGATGCTTTTAGGTGTGTGTGTATACATATAAACATGTATATATGCATACGTATGCATATGTATATGCATAACATGCTTATAAATACAAATCAATTTTCATCTACTACTCAATTTTTTAAAATGCAGTTGTTAGTGTTATTTTTAAGGAAAGAAAACATGCAATCTAATTAACACTGAAATAAAAATGCTGTGTTGGAGTTAAATGTGTTGGACTTCATCAAGATGTTTACACTTCTTAA